CTATTGGTCAATAAATCTAATAATGCATAAACAAGATGCATAACTATTTCATTCGGTATATATATGTGTTCTAAATTTGACTGAACACAGAACAAAGCAACTTAGACTATCAATTCTTCAATTTTTGGTCTTACGAATTTTAAATGCTTTACTAAATGACCCTTTTAAAACCACTGATTGTGTGATCAACAATTCGTTAACGCCAAAAGAAAAGTAATGGTCTTAAAACTCTTAAACAGTATGAACATTTATATTCTATCAGTTACTGAGTTTGAAGGCAGAAAAAGGAGCAGTTAGCGGAGAAGGAAAGAAGATTCTGAGAAGGTTCTTGGTTTTTTCTCTCAGTCTGAGCCTCAATCCACATATTATAAATGCATGCTTTGTTCCATAAACACTTCAGAGGAACACACTGAGAGGCACAGAGAATGGGAAACAACATGGCAACACACAACAAATACAAAAGTTTCATGTTCTTTATCAGAAAGTTCAAGGTCATCGAGCCAGATCCACCTCAGGACCTTGAGGAGGCGTTTTCAAAGTTCACAGGAGGAGGGTCCCACATGTCCGTGGAGCAGCTCCACCGTTTCATGGTGGAGCACCAGGGTGAAGAGCACCACACCTTATCGGATTCGGAAAAAGTTTTTGAGAGGATTTTGCAGGAGAGAAAGACATGTCAAGAAACTGTTAAGATTGATCACAGCACAGAACATGAGATCACCCTGGATGAGCTCTTCCGATTTTTGCTTCATAATGATTTCAATGGTCCCTTGAAAACTCAGGTAAGCTCTTCCATGCATGTTTGGTCACCATGGGAAAGAGAACGTTTTTGGTTTCTTGAATTATATCTGTGAGTGTGTTTCAAATCCAGTTTTATACTCAAAAGAGTGATTTCAATCTATACATCAGTTAATTGAAAAAACTTATTGCATAAAAGTTTCATCTTTGCTTCCTGCTCTTGTTTTTTGTGTTTTGGTTTTAGCTTCTAAAATCATACAATTGATGCGATTCTAGGTACATCACGATATGGGTGCTCCATTGTCACATTATTTCATATATACAGGCCACAACTCCTATTTGACAGGGAATCAACTCAGCAGTGACTGCAGTGAAGAGCCAATAATAGAGGCTTTGAAACGAGGAGTTCGTGTTATAGAACTTGATCTATGGCCAACTTGCAATAAGGATTATATTAAAGTAGATCATGGATGGTAAATGAAGTTTATTATCAAGTTCGTTTGACCATAGTCTATAGGGACCCCAAAATGTTTTTTTTTTTTTTTACTTTACTGTTTTTTTTTATCTCTTCAATGGAATCAATGCAGGACTTTTACCAATCCTGTCTCAGTGGTGAAATGTCTAGAGTGCATAAAGGAATATGCTTTTGTTGCATCTCCGTACCCTGTGATCATAACCATAGAAGACCATCTCACAACAGATCTTAGAGCTAAATTTGCAGAAGTAAGCATCCAATTTCACTGATGAATGTTGATACTATTCTGTTTTACTTTTTCCTTTTGTTATCATGGTTTCATGGCTTGCAGATGGTAACTCAAATATTTGGGGAAGTGCTTTATTACCCTGGGGAAGAGTGCTGCTTAACAGAATTCCCTTCACCAAAATCACTCAAAAATCGAGTTATTATATCCACCAAACCCCCAAGAGAACGTTTTCGGTCCAGCCAAATCAAGGACAATAGCAACTGTCCTATGCTGAACGAAAGTGAATCATCTGAAGAGGAATCATTCGGAAATGCATCTCCAAACTCCAGTAGGAACGAAGTAGAGACTGAGGACACAGTGAGACAGATATTTGCATTCATATTTTTTTAAACAAAATCTAGAATTTTATTGAAGTACTCGTAAAACTGTTTAGCAATGCTACTTCGAATGTTGTTGGAGATTATTTACAAGTTAAAAGGTTCTACAGTGTATCAAATTTAAGCTCTAAAAATATTAAGTTTTGATGGCTTATGTTACTTTGTTTGTGTGTAGCAGAATGGCAGTGATCGTGATGAGGGAAGCATAAGTGCAAGCGAATATGACCAGAAACCATATCTGGAGTGTTCACCTGATTACAAACGCATAATTACTATCCATAACAGGAAACTGAAGGGTTGCCTGAAGGATAAATTGAGAACTGAAGGTGAAGTTAGACGCCTAAGTTGGAGTGAGAATACTCTTGAAAAGGCTTCAGAATCTCATGGAGCAGATATTCTTAGGTATGTCATTCTTACAGAAAAAGGAATCTAAACAGAGAAATTTATTTTCTCTTAAAAGCATTTACTGTGTAAAGTATCCAAACATGTCCATAATTTTTAGTTTCAGCTACAAGGTTGAATTTCATTACACATCTTTTCTGGTTGTTTCCTTCAACAGTTAACACTTATACTAGGCCTTGATAGTTATCCTGTGACTAGCCTGATTCAAGCTTTTACACTTCCCAGGTTCACACAGAAAAATATCCTCAGGGTGTACCCAAGTGGAATGCGTGTCAAATCCACAAATTTCAAGCCACATATTGGGTGGATGTATGGGGCTCAGATGGTGGCATTCAATATGCAGGTTAGGAACTATGATCAAGGTTAACTTTTTCAAATAAATGAAAGTTTTTTGGATTTGAATCACATCTTTCAGCTGTTTTCTGTTGCGGACCAATCGATATGCATGTTGAAAATTGAACGGGTTTATAAGTAAATACATGTCTAATAAGACAGTATCAAGATTCAAATGAATCACATCTTGAATCTTTCTCTTAGAAATAGGTGACACTTTGTGCAATTAAAAGTATTGTGCCTTGGAGATTATTTTGAAAACATGTGCATTTAAGTTCAGTTGCTTGTTGCCTTTGCCAGGAATTCTAACCTTGTACAGTTCTACCATTTTTCTTCCCCAACAGGGCCATGGCAAATCGCTCTGGTTGATGCAGGGAATGTTCAGGGCAAATGGAGGATGCGGTTATGTAAAGAAGCCTCAAATTCTGATGCAGAAGCATCAATGTGACAATGAGTATGATCCTACAAAGATAGAGTCAATGAAAAAAACATTAAAGGTAACCATCTATCATTCAATCGTACAATGCACATTCTTTTGTTAGGTGACATTGGAATGCTATGTTGTCATGTCTAATAACAGGTCAAAGTATACATGGGACATGGATGGAGCTCAGATTTCAGTCCTACACACTTTGATAAGTGCTCTCCGCCAGACTTCTTCACTAAGGTCAGTTGGATAATTAAACAACAGTTCTCAGTGAACTTAGGGAGTCTAATCTTTTCCATTAGAACTTGATGTTGGACACAGTTATTATGCTTCATCGTTGATCATAGATGTTGTAAACTCTATAACTTAGCTGAAATCTCTATCAGTAGTACATCAGTTTCTTTTACTATATAATCATTATTTTTGTTTTCTGGCTTTTCTTATGTGGTTATACATTCATCTTAACATCTCCATCGTTGTTCTTTTAATGTTAAACATTTACTGGCAGAAAACTCAAACAATGCTATGTTCTGAACTTTTGATTTTATCCTGTTTACTCCTCTCAACCACAAACTTTTGAGTGACTGTTTTCACCACATGAAAGGAAGAAACAAAAAGTATTTTTGTGTGTGAATCTTAGTTGTTGTTGTGTGACAGATCCGAATTATTGGAATGCCTGGTGATGTTGCAAAGAACAAAACAAAGGTCATCATGGACAACTGGTTTCCTGTTTGGAATGAAGAATTTGAATTCTGTTTAAGTGTTCCAGAGCTTGCAATGCTTATGATACAAGTAAAGGATAAAGATCAAGGAATGGATGACTTTGCTGGGCAGACATGTTTACCAGTGTCAGAGTTAAAACATGGATTTCGCTCAGTGCCTTTATACGACAAAAAGGGAGAGAAATTTAAATCTGTGAAGCTGTTGATGCGATTTCAGTTTGAATGAAATGTAGAGAATAGAGATCACTCTTCTTGGATATACCTTCATCTCTAACATTGCATGCTTTCAACACATAACTGCTACAATTATTTGTCATCATTAATCAGTGAACAGTTCATACTGCATATTTCTAGTTTAAATTTAATTTCAGAGTTTTTTAAACAAATTTTGGACTTCCACAAAGCGAACTAAACAAGCTCATTTTAATGGTTTAAGTAGACTGAATGGCTACTGAAAAGAAATGGATATATTCTCTAATGAATTCCTTATAGAAGATTAAAGATAACAAAAATTTTAAAAAAATATACTGTAATAAAAAATATTTAACTCATTAAGGAATTTTAAAATATTTAGTGAAAATATATAAAAAAAGAACAATGTTTTTTGCCTGCAGTTAATACTTATTTTAATGAGACAGATGTCTTATTTGGTTACTTAAATTTAAATATGATTTTATTATGTTGAAATAAATAAATGTAATTATCAGTGATTATTTATTTTCAAACAAACAAATATATTTATTTTCTAGCCGTAGATTTGAAACACAAATTATGAAGGGAAAAAAATTAACACCATATATTGATATTGTTGTCACTTAGCGGTGTTGTAGGGTAACTATTTTGTTCGACCAAAAAACTGGTCAAATGGGTAATGGGTAGTCATATTCCTAATTCTTGGGAATGTGTTTTTTCCTATGATGTCTTTTTAGGAAGCTAATTTACAATTGGAAAGATATGTACTTGAAGAAGTGATAGTGATATATAATGTTATAAAGAAAGCATTTAAATAAAATTTTTCTTATAAAAATTGTGAGAAACATGGTTGACATTAATTATATATGAATTGTAAAACATGAATGTTAGGTTTTAAGTGATAGGGTTAAAAAGGATCATTCTACCAATAAATCCTTAAATTAAATTATATTTTATAATACAATGTTGGTTTTCACTTACTTGAATTCCAATTGAAAGAAAAAATTGGACAAAAGTTAATTTTATTTAAAAGAAAAATAAAATGAAGTTGAAGTTAATATAAAGAGGAAAATTTAGGAGCATAAAAGCGTGGCTAAAGTGTAAACGGTAGATTCCTGTTAAATCGCATGCCAATTATGGGACTTCTCTGTCTCTCAAAATTTCCAAATCCTAACTTTCATCATTAATCCATTTTTGTTTCCTTCATCTTCTTCTTTCTTCCCTCCGTCAAATCATTCACTGCATGCAACAATGACCAGCGTCACCTACGGCTACAAAATGTTCAAGTACTTCAACAAAACCTACGCCGTCTCCGAGCAGGCCCCTCCGCCGGACGTCAAGGACGCATTCTCCCTCTTTGCCGAAGGCGCCGACTTCATGTCCGCCGACCAGCTCCTCCGCTTTCTGCACGAACACCAACTCGAATTGGACTACACCGCAGAAGATTCCAACCGCGTCGTCGAAACCGTCCTGCAATCGCGCACGCAAAACGCCGAATGCGACTCCGACAACAACGGTCTAACGCTCGACGAGTTCTTCCGCTTCTTGTTCCTCGTCGATTTCAACGATCCCCTCAAATCCAAGGTCCCTCTCTCCACCCTCTCCCAAACACGTGCAACAAAAAAAAACGTTTCTCTTACCTTCTTTCTTTTCCTTTTAATATTATGATTTCGTCACGTTGTTTGTTAGCTTATTGTTATGTGAGGTGTTCATGAGCAGGGTTTGATTAAAATAATTAGGTTTAATTAAGACTTTAATGCCCGTAACTTCGTGAACTTTCACATCGATTACTTTCTAATCGTTTCCTTCTGTAACAGTTTACAATGTGAGGAAACTACTATAAAACACTAACAAACAAGAAATGCTAAAACATGAAAATTAGATTACTTGTATTAAACCAACCATTAACCAATGTAATATAAAAAATTAGATAGAAAATTTAAATGCTTTAACAAGGATTAATTTGATTTTATATCGATTTGGAAGCATGTTTCCTTTGTCTCTGTTGAAGGGATTATAGTTAGGTTAAAGCTTTAATAAGGGGAGTGGTTGTCAGAAAGATATTTATACCGTCGGTTGGATTATTGAATGTTGTACTAATTTGCTTTATTGTCAGATTTCGACATATCATAATTATTTACCTTCTTTCTACTGGACAAAGACGAGGGAAAAAAAAAAGAAGAAATGAAGAAGTCAATATAACATACAAGAAATGAGGGACCCGTTTTAATAACTTTTTATGAGACGTAGAACTTAGCTTTCAAACCATCACATTATGGAGCCAACCTAGGGGAGACTAGCTTGTACTCAACAAGTGTAAAAAATCTTCTCTTGCATTAGACATTTAAAGTGTAAAAGAAAATATTCAATTTAGTCATAAGATTTAAATAAATTAAAATAAATACTTTACAAATCACTTATTTTTAGTTATTTTTTTAAAGATAAAGATATTTTTGACATTTAAATCTTTTTTACTCTTATTTGATACTATTATTTACTATTTTTTTTATAAATAGAAAAGTTTATATTTTTTATAATAATTTTATCCTTACATAAATGTCTAGTAATAGTTGTCAAATGTCAAACAATATATTTTTTTTTCTATTTTTATTGCTTGTACATGATATTATTAAACTATAATTTAGTTTCTGCATTTTATTATTAGAATAGATTTAAATTATAAAGATTAAATTATGTTAATAATATATAGAAATATAGTTAAAACGAAAAATTAGTGGGAAGGATGAAAGCTATTTTTAAGATTTATTTATTTATATAATTTAAGGACTAATGGAAAAATATATATTTATCCAAAAGAAACTATGTATTTACAACATTTGTCCGATATTGACAAATAAGATATCGTGTTTCCATTTTTAAAATTACTTTTTCTTACGAGAAAAACACAAGTTATTTTTGGAAAAATATGCTTGATTATTAGAAAATCTTTAAAGATTTTACTGAAATTTCTTTTTCTTTAATTAAAACTTCCAAAACAAAGGGCCAAAACAACTTTAAAAAATGACTTTTAGTAGCTCGGCAGTGCTTTTCTTTTTGTATGTGCATGTACAAATTTTGTAGTGATATTTGTTTTGGAAAAGAATATTTCGACACAAATTTTTTTACAACATGTGTCATATTTTTATTGATTTATTTTTAATTATTATGCGTACTTTAAACTCAATGGAAATCACATGGGTATTGGATCAAAATATTGAAAGAAAAAAAAATCTATGTTAACACTTGTTTCTGTGTCACAATATGGACGTCAATAGTGCAACTAGAAAAAGAGTGACTCAACTTTGTATTAAAGTTCTACAGTTACATGTGCAGTTTCTGATTGACATTACTTATAATGGTCGTGCATGGGTGATTAACATTATACTTATTTGTTAAGGCCAAATTTATAATGACAAAAAAATAAGTATATACCTAGTTTGCAGTGTTGTTATTTCAAGGAAAGTTTTGTTTATGTCTTCTTGACAATTTGAATTAAATGTAATGCCAGGTACATCAGGATATGAATGCTCCCTTGTCACATTATTTCATATATACAGGGCACAATTCCTATCTGACTGGGAATCAGCTAAGCAGCGATTGCAGTGATGTGCCAATAATAAAGGCTTTGCAACGAGGTGTCCGAGTAATTGAACTAGATTTATGGCCAAATTCAACTAAAGATGATATCGACGTCGTTCATGGAAGGTGCTGATCTGGAGTTCAGTCTTGTATAGCTCTAGATGACTATTTTTCATCGTGTTCTGATCTTTTATACATTTCGGACATTCATGCTGCAATTTATATAATCATCTGCTTTGGAACATTTTCTGAAATATTTCAGGACACTTACTGCTCCTGTCTCACTTATCCAGTGTTTGAAGTCCATAAAAGAGTATGCTTTTGTTAAATCTGAGTACCCACTAATTCTAACTTTAGAAGACCACCTTACACCATTTCTTCAAGCTAAAGTTGCAGAGGTAAGGTCCATTGTTAAACCCTTCCCAACACGAAGAAAGAATCTTACTTCCAAGTTCCTACTTGTGTAGGCATTGAACGCAAATTTAATCTTATTTGCAGATGTTAGCTCAAGTATTTGGAGATATGCTATACTACCCTGAGACCGATCTTCTCACAGAATTTCCCACACCAGAGTCGGTGAAAGGTCGAATTCTTATATCAACCAAACCACCATCAAAAGAATGTCTTGAGTCCAAGCAATTCAAGGATAGTGACAGTGAGAGGGAATCAACTGAAGAATTATCGCCATGCGTTATCACTGAATTGGAAGCTGCTGCTGCTGCTGATGATGAAAAGGTGAGCGTAAAGACGGATTTGTTTCTTGTTGGATTTACATTTATAAGCTCCGGATGCTTATGTTATCTTTTTCTCCTCTAACCTGATAGTCCAATGGAAATGATCTTGATGAGGAAAGCTTGAATGCCCGTGATAAAAAACCAGACCAACAGAGTGCACCAGAGTACACACGTTTAATTACAATCCATGCTGGGAAGCCAAAGGGTCCTGTAAAGGACCACTTAAATGTTATTGGGGGTGTAAGGCGCTTGAGCTTGAGCGAGCAGGAACTTGAAAAAGCTTCTACCACTTATGGATCTGATATTGTTAGGTACCCTACGTAGTAGTACATAGTACTGCTAACTGCATATATATAACTACTCTTTACAGTTGAAAGCCTCTCAAATAAGGTGGTTGCATTTATGCTCCCAGGTTTACACAGAAGAATATTATCAGGGTGTATCCAAAGGGAACACGTGTTAACTCCTCAAATTACAGGCCACATATAGGATGGATTTACGGAGCTCAGATGGTGGCATTTAACATGCAGGTTAGGGATTTATGACCAAGGTCATTTCAAATAAAAGGCTTATCCTAGTCTTTATGTACTCTACCGCAACTGATCGTTGTGCAAATTGTTATCATACAGTTCATTTATTTGAATACTTGGATGTTTAGGAAACTGGTGAATCGGGCTAATTTCTTTTGTGGAGTAATGTTGATGCATATTGATTATTATTTTTATGTTGTTGAGCCCATATATATTTAATTCGATGCTGTACAGTGTACACTATTTCAATGCTATGTGGGTTTTGTGAAAATTTTCTCAGTAAGGTATTTTGGTAGTAGTCATTGCCAGTAACTAGTATGATCTAATTTTTTATTTGTTTTTATGCATCCTTTGATGCTAACATTTTAGGATGTGATTTTCTATATCAGGGGCATGGAAAATCACTCTGGTATATGCAAGGGATGTTTAGAGCGAATGGCGGTTGTGGTTATGTGAAAAAGCCTTCATTTCTGATAGAAGAAGGCCCAGATGATGAGGTTTTTGATCCTAAAAAACCAATGCCAGTGCAAAAGACATTGATGGTAAGATACACTATTTGAAAAGGTAACCAATTGATTCGGTGACATACTTTAAACTTCTCCCCTGTCAACCTATAGGTAAAAGTGTACATGGGAAACGGGTGGAGCACAGATTTCAGTAAAACACACTTCGATGCATTCTCTCCGCCGGACTTTTACACAAAGGTGAGTTCGATATTTTTGCTAGTATTGCAGATCAGGGTAAGTAATCTATCAGTAGATGGACATGGTCGATGATATTATTTTTATTATTAGTCGTGTTTCAATATTGATTGATACCTCCAACCAGTGATTGGGATGAACTTTGTTAATATAACTGTTATAAAACCTTCAACTTTTTATACTATCTCTCTATAAGTGCATTTCACCATATGCATGGGTTTATATATATACCTTGAAGAGAAGACTGTACTGTACAGTTTCAAGATTAAGTAAAAATTATAATCAGAAACCCCTTTTTGTCGGTAATGACTAGAATTTAAAGAGAAAATTGTGTAATTGAAATTGTCAATGGTGAACATGAGAGAAGCAAAAGTACGTTATACTTATTTATTTAATTACTTTATTTAACAGGTTTGCATTGTTGGAGTACCTGCTGATAAAGTGAATAAGAAGACGAAGATAATTCATGATGATTGGTTTCCCGTTTGGGATGAAGAGTTTGAATTTCCTTTGTGTGTTCCAGAACTAGCTTTACTTTGGATAGAGGTTCGAGAGTACGATATGCATGAAAAGGATGACTTTGGCGGGCAATCATGTTTACCAATCTCTGAGCTAAGATCTGGTTTCCGGGTAATCCCTCTATTTGATGAGAAGGGCGAGCAATTAAAATCTGTAAAGCTTTTAATGCGGTTTCAGTTCAAATGAACTATAACATTAGTCATTCCTTGCTAGGCATGTAACATGGTTTCATATTCCTAGGTGGTTTTTTTTTTACTAGTGACTAGGTTCATCTAAAAAGATTGTTGTGACTATAGATTATCTTCATCTCTAACTGCTTGAATCAATACTACCTTCAGCACAACGCAAACATATTAGCACCATGCAATTTTTACGTCATGTGGTGAGGTGATGTAAGTTTTAAGGTGTCTGCATGCTGATTGAACATGAGACCAAAAAAACATGATATAGATATGAGAATTTGATGTCATACCTCACAATGATGATGATAAATAAATCAGTTGACAGATGTTTGTCAACACAGCCTCACAAGGTGGCACATGCCACCTTTCTACTGACACATCAAGTATATGTAATACGAGGAAGGAGATTTTTGGATGTCTCATCACAATTCAGCCATTCATTCATTCTGCAACTCTTTTGAAGGAGACCCTTTGCTTTGCCCTTTGTATTTGGATAACGAACACTACTGTTGTGACTGTTATCTGATAAATGTTTTTGAAACTAACGAGGGTTGAAGGAAACACGTATTTCCCTTCCTTTGCTTTTAAAATCCAAAATTTCTTTTATTATACATAATTAGAGAGTGCCATAGGCAAAAAGATATAATGGATTGTTACTAAATGGAAAATTATACTTTGACACCGTCATTTTCTTTTACTTTCACTTTACAACCCCTTTTTAATGATAAAATATTAATAAAAATAAATATACATAAATTTTTAAAATAAAATAATATTTTTAGGATCGTTAAATAAAAGTATATAAAAAATATATCATTATAAGAAGGTGATGTTATAACGCCGCCTTGGACTGAACATTTCTAAATTAATAAAAATCACCTTGATTCATCAAATTATGCAGTAACTAATGAGAAAATTAATTATCTCAATTTTATCAATATGATATGTACCTGTTGTCATTTCAATTTAATATAATGTATTACAGTTTTCTAATTCGGTTCCTTTCTCCACTTAAATAAACTAAATGCATTTTGTTATAAAATTTTACTGAGTATATATTTCTCTCATAATTTTAAATTGTTAAAATATTTATATTTTAAAATTAAATATTCATATTTATTTTTTTATTTGTATAAAATACTGTATTTATTGTTCTTGTTTTTTATAAATATTTCTGTTTTGTTGCATTTTTAGTATAAATATCCAATTTCTTTAATTTTTATTAGAGAAATAATTACAATATTTGTAGGCAATCGACCGGCTGTGAGACAAACTAATCAGAAAAGATAAATATCATTAATGATCAATTAATATGTTTAATGGTCATGTTAAACGCGAATATACGTTATTTATGAGTGATTTAGAGGTTATATTGTACAACAATATGGTATTAATGGACAATTAGCAAGTATATTAACAGAAACATTTTGGCGACCACGTGGGGCCGAGCGGCATCCCCATGATTCCAAGAGGAACCAGACGTGTAGACGTGCGCTCGACCTCGACATTGTTACTTCGGATCAATATCAGGTTTTGCAACAAGGGTACAAAATTCCATAATAATTTCTAAAGACATGTCTTTTGTTTTGAGAACTTTCAGGAACGTTCAGCCCTACATCCAACCTTATCAGGGAAGGATATTTGCGAAGAAGTCCCGAGCGGATGTATCGGAAGGACGATCGGAGGCGGAACTATAACCGCAGTCCAAGTCGTCATCGTGAACGATCGGTCAGTGGATTTCTAAACTGAGGAGAAGCATCCAAAACTTTATTAATGTCATTGTTAAAGTTCATACTCAATGACGAAGTCTCTCGGGAAGAGTTTGAAGACAAAGACCGTCCCACTCGGCCGAGAGGTAAACTCCTCTCATTGAAATTAAAGACCAAGAGGTAAATCCCTCTTGGCCGAGAGGTAAATCCCTCTCGTTAAGATTGAAGACAAAAACCGAGTGGTAAATCTCACTCGGCCGAGAGGTAAACTCCTCTCGTTGAAGTTAAAGACCAAGAGGTAAATCCCTCTTGGCCGAGAGGTAAATCCCTTTCATCAAGATTGAAGACAAAGACCGAGTGGTAAATCTCACTCGGCCGAGAGGTAAACTCCTCTTGTTGAAGTTAAAGACCAAGAGGTAAATCACTCTAGGCCGAGAGGTAAATCCCTCTCGTCAAGATTGAAGACAAAGATCGAGCGGTAAATCCCACTCGGCCGAGAGGTAAACTCCTCTCATTGAAGTTAAAGACCAAGAGGTAAATCCCTCTTGTCAAGATTGAAGACAAAGACCGAGCGGTAAATCCCACTCGGCCGAGAGGTAAACTCCTCTTGTTGAAATTAAAGACCAAGAGGTAAATCCCTCTTAGCCGAGAGGTAAATCCCTCTCACCAAGCTTAAAGACAAAGACCGAGCGGTAAATCCCACTCGGCCGAGAGAAACTCTTCTCGTTGAAATTAAGACCAAGAGGTAAATCCCTCTTGGCCGAGAGGTAAAATCCTTCTCGTCAAAGCTGAAGTCAAAGATCGAGAGGAAAATCTCTCTTAATCGAACGGTCACAAGTATTCGGTCATTCGGTCTCAAACCACATCACACCGCCCGGTGATTCAAAAGGGTAATCACTCTTTCTCGCCACTTTAAATTCTTCTGGAGTATTTAAACCCCTTCGCACCTGCAAACAACTGCCCGGGGCTTGGGGGGCTTAATGTACTATACCTGACAACCGACCAACTGTCAGACAAACTAATCAGGAAAGGTAAATATCATTAATGACCAATTAATACGTTTAATGGCCATATTAAACGCGAATATACGTTATTTATGAGTGATTGACAGGTCATGTACAAGAATATGATATTAATGGACAATTACCAGGTATTATTGGATTTATTGCAATATCAAATATGAATTAATGAGCTTGATTGCTATAATATGCCCATGTAAAGACATCATCTTCTATCCTAATAAAATATAGACATCTTTATGATGCCCATATAAACACATCATCTTCTATCCTAATAAAATATAGACCTCCCTATAAAACATATCTGACTTGAGCGTCAGAGTGTTTTCCTAATAAAATATAGACCTCTTTATGATGCCCATATAAACACATCATCTTCTATCCTAATAAAATTTAGACCTCCCTATAAAACATATCTGACTTGAGCGTCGGAGTGTCTTCTGCAGGTCAACAACTCATCAAAGTGGATTGAAGATCAAAAGAGAGCAGAACAAGAAGGAATGACTGACCCTCAGACCAATTCAACTGAAACAGTATCTCTCTTTTTCAAAGAAATATTTTTCCTATAAACTCGTGTTTTCACTGCCATCATATCATATGAAAATTTTATTGAAAAATAAAAATAAAAACTAGAAATGGAAACATGGAAGCTATACAAAAATACATTTGCAATACTTTTCTTTTCTGCGTTACATAAGATTTATAGGTTAATATATTAGACATGCTATTAATTATTATCTCTTTCATTTGATATTTGTTTGTTTGTTTTTTCACTTTAGCTTTAGGGGTGATGCTTCAAGATGTTTATGAACTCAAGTATACGAATCTTAATACATCGCTAGATAAAACCAGAAAATGAAATAGACGTGGGTGTCATCATATATTTCTTAGAATTTGCTTTTAGTATGTGATTGTTATCGATTTTGGAATATGTTATTTTCAAGTAAAATGGTTGTCTTGATATAATCATATAATAAATAACTTTTCTATTATAATTTAAGAACTTTTTATACTATAATTAATGATATTTTTCATAAATTTAAAACTAATCCGTTGATGAATTAATATGAAAATATAACATATAAAAGTTATATGTTTAGAGTTACTTAGAGAAATATAATTTCTTTTTTTGCAAGTAACACAAAGATTAGATATCAATATCAAGACTAGCAAAATGAATATTGAAGATCGATAATTGACACCACAGACGTCTTTTAATTCTTTTAATTCTTTTAATTCTTTTAATTCTTTAACACATAACATGTTAAGTCTTTAGAACTAGTGTACTAAATATGTCCAAGGTCCTACTAAGTCGACATATAACCGATCTTTATCTATTTAATCAAAATGACATCACGTCAACCACCAATTATTTAAAATTAACACGTTCTTGAATTACGTGGTTCAAATTCATAAATAGTGTATTTTACAAAATATGTGATTTATGTTCACATTTATTGTTGGTTGGTGTACTCGGCTAACTTATGCGTAAAAGTGTTTTATGTAGGCACTACTCCATCCAGTTTAAAGAATACGATTATCTAAGGTTAAAGGCTTAGAGTGTTGAAATGTTTTTAAAATAGTTACAGGTGTAAGAATAAAATTGATTCTTAATAATTTCATATACCATTCCATAGGATATTTTTGTTTTCAAAAACAACGTGAAAAACTTGTATAATTAGATTGAGAAGATTATTTTCATCATTAATTTTTGGTTTGATTTGAAAAATTAATGTTAATGTAAATTTTCTACTTGTTAAGTTTCATAATTTCATTAGTCAAGACCATGTATAATACAAATAGTTTTATCATTCCATGCATTATATAAATTCAAATTAATCCATATTTTTGTACATATTATGTTTGGACATGAGAGATTGAAAAAAAAAGCCAAGAAAAAAATAATTAAAATTTAAAGGTGCTTAACTTGAAAAAAAGAAAAAAGACAAAATTATATATATAAAAAAAAACTAATGTTTGTCTCAATAGCAAAACATAAGGAGTGCAATAGATTTATCAAACTTTTTCAACTTGACAAATACTAGTAATATTTATATGTGTGATCTATTCATTGTCAAAAAGATTATTCACTTTTGTTTTTCGTTTTAAAGAAAGTGATTCAATTTCTTTCACAACGTTTTTGCCTCGCATGGATCAAGATAAAAAGGGTTTATTCAACGTTATGAGAAAAAAAAACGTTACAAATTTTAAAAATTTGATCAAATTGTTAAGTAATTTGGCTCATAAAGTAGGTCAAACCATTTCGTGGTACCCGTTTAATTAAATTTGTTTGGATAACCAAGGATAAGATTTTAAGATATTATATATAAGCTGATAAGGATTAAATTGAAAACGACATTATAAATAATTCCTATAAATTTTCTTATTTTAGAATTCTTTCATTTATTTGACTAGATGAAAAAAGAAACCATTATTTTCTTCCCCTCTATATTTGTTTTCTTTATTCTACATATTTGTTCTTTTTTATAACATTTGTAATTATTTCAGATGATTTAAAAACACATTATTTGAATAAATTCCTTTAAACAGTTTTTTATTGCTTTTTCATTAGAGGTTTATTAAGAAAAATTATATTAAACTAATTAAAAAACAAATTATCAACTCTAATATCACTTACAAATCAATTTTTGGTGAAATATTCACCATAGAGAAATTATATGAAAATTTGACACAATTTTTAATTTATAATTTTAAAATAATAAAGTTATGAGTTTTTTTATATAATATTTAATTTTATTATTTTTATTTTATACAGAACTTAAATTC